ATCACACTCACTCATACTCACACACACACACCACCCAGAGAGAGAGAGAGAGAGAGAGAGAGAGAGAGAGAGAGAAAGAAAGAGAGAGAAAGAGAGATAAAAAGAGAGAAAGATAAAGAGAGAGAGTGATATGCAAATGAAAAGAACACTCACATAACCATGAGTAAGCAAATGACATGTTATCACACACACTCATACTCACACACACACACACACACACAGAGAGAAAAAGAGAGGGAGAGAGAGAGAGAGAGAAAGAGAGAGAGAATGATATACAAATGAAAAGAACACTCACACATGACCATGAGTAAGCAAATGATATGTTATCAGAATGGGCATGATAAGAGCAACACATTAAAGTACTACTGCTGTGAGCCATCATCATCCTCATCATCAACAACATCATCATCATTATTACTATCTTAATTATAGTTGCCAACATTTCAACACAACCACACGAATTTAGATAAACAAACAAATTAACCCTCAATTGAATACACACAGTCATAAATTTCATGGCCAATCCTGATCAAAATCCTTATCTTCTCACTTAACCAGCATACAAACAAACACATGGACGAACAAACAAACAAACCAACCAATTTTCCATTCCTGGTTTTAGTCAGCATCGACTTTTCCAGAAGCACCCCAGCCCCTAAAAACTCAAAATCCAAGATGGCGTCATCAGGGCCATCATCATTTGTCCCCAAAATATCGGCCAGTACGTCAAGGAGGTCTTGGGAAGTGGGTAGGAATTCGCCTTTTCTGATGTCGGTGTAGCGTGGAAGTAGTCGTAAATCGAGCTTGTTGTTGCTACTGCTGCCGCCACTGCTGTCCGTGTTGCTGTCGTTGGCGTTATTGATGCTGGTTGCTGTCGGCACTGAATGACGGATTAACAATTTCCCCGGTCTCGGTATCAGAGTTTGTGACGGTTTTGTCGTTGTGGATGTGGTCGTCGTGGTTATTGCTGATGATGCAGAAGTTACTGAATTCAAATTGTTGAGAGGTGTTGTTTTATTTGCCAACTCACTAGTGTTGTTGTTGCTTGTTGCTAGGCTGTTATTAACATTTGTTGACGTTGATGTCAGTATTGATAGTGTTTTTGATGACGTCGCCGAGGCTCTGACGACATCAACTGCAACATTTTTCTTTGCTGTCATGCCCTGCCAGCCCGATGACGATGAACATGACAAAGAGGAAAAAATGTTGTTGCAACTATTGATGTCATTAACATCATTGGTGTTAATGCTTGTTGTTGTAGTTGAGATGGGAGTGGAAATTTTTGCAGAGGCCACCTTACCTGGTGTTGTAATTTTTGGTAAAATTGTTGTTGTCGATGTTGAACTGGTATAAACAGCTGTTCCTGATGAATTTGAGAAGTTGGATCCTTTATCATTGTCATTACCATCAACCAGGTCGACACTCTCAACAGGACCATTAGTCACAGCTGATTTAAACTGTTTGGTAGTCTTGGAGGTAAACTTGAATGAGTTTGGCGCGACTTGAGTTTTGGTGAGTGACTCATTAACACTGTTGTTGTATCTGTTGTTGTTGTTGATGATGGTGGTGGTGGTGTTGACGATGAGAGGTTTATCTGTTGTTGTCGTTGATGTGGCTGATGCAGTAGCTACTGTTGCTGCTGATGTGGTCATTTGGAAACCATCTTCTAATGTTGGAGAGATGTTTTTGCTGATATTATTGTGACTTCTAACTTTATTCACAGGAGAGCCGGTGGAAAATTTATTGATCAATTGAGCAATTGACTTGCTCTTATCATCACCATCACCATCGCCTTCGTTATCATCATCATCATCCCCATCCCCAATTTTAGTAGTTGCTGTTGGAGTAGGTGTAGTTGGTCTCAATTTTACTGAAAAGTTGTTGCTATTGACGTTGACATCATGGGCAAAGTCACGTTTTGCAGGTAATAATTTTTTTGAAGTAGTAGTAGTAGTAGTTGTAGAAGCAGTAGTAGTAGCGACAGCGGCGGTAGTAGTAGTAGTGGTGGTATTTGAGGTGTTATTGAACAATAAAAAGTCATCATCGACATTATCTTTACTGTCGTTATTTTCATCATCATCATCGTCGTCGTCGTCATCAATATTCGTGACGTTACGATCATTGTAGCTTTTTAGAAATCTTTTATTACTACATATACTATCTATATTATTACTCATATTATTACTAATTATATTAATATTTTCATTATTATTATTATTATTATTTATATTATAATTATTTTTAGAGGGCCCTTTAGTCTCTATCTGAAGAGGTGATTTATTAATGATAAACGTGGAATTATCTCCGGCATCATTATCACAATCCTCTTTATTTAACTTATTATTATTATTGTTATCACTATTACTTTCCCCTATGACTTTTTCACTAATTGTTCTTCTGAGGTT